GGAAGTGGACCCCTCAAGTGGGCCTGGAGAGGCACAAGAAAAAGCAGGCACTGAATTATGCAAAAGATTTACGCGCTGCCTTCCGACGGCTCAGAAACTTTTGGGGCGTTGGCAGATTTCTGAATGCTGGCTGACATTGTATACAATTTTTTAGCCGGACGCCACAGTGGAAATAGCGTATGACAGTTATACACTCACAGAAAGAACGGCTTTTGCCTATGCGCACCAGATGACAGATACATTGGGCAGGGACTCGAAGGTTTGGTAAGATGAGGAGCAGTCTGTGAGAACTAACAAGCTCCAAATTTGTAGGCTACAAAGCCCAGGATTACCGCACAAAGTGCTCAGCAGGCCTCTGGGCAAGTGGCCTGATACTTTGCAGACATTGGTTCGCAGCTTATGAAGCAGTTAATCATTTCAAGTGGGATATGGTGCCCCAACAATTTTGTGTTCAGGAAACGAAAAAAAATCACATATAATTTACGGTATCTGTATACCTCCGTGTTCCGTTTTACGTAAACTCGGAATGCTAACCTAACTTCTGATATTTACCAACAGCAAAGATGCTCACTTATTCAGCAAAGCTAATCAGACTCTGTACACGATTCTTCTCCGACTCCTAATAAATCGCCTTCCAATATTTACCTTTTATATTTTCCCATATCAATACTGGCTGGCTTTTTCACGAGCAATAATCACTCAATTCAAAGGCAATATGGCGCCTAGCGGTCAAATGGTAATAAAAATCAATATTGAACTCCGCACACAACCCAGGGCGAGGGGCAAAGACTCGTGAACCGAAAATGATAGGAAATAAATCGCATGCGATAGAAATAAGCGTTGAATTCTATTAAAAGGCAGCCAGAGAAGTAAGCCGAGAGGAATATGCAAAGAGCTCTTTGATCGCAGCCGCATGCAGAGAGGAATCCCCTTTGATCCCAAAGACGGACACACGACGGCAGGTAGAAGAAACCACAGGGCGAAAATCGTTGAAATATTTCAATTAACTTAAAGTGCGCCGCCGCAGTGGAGGAGAGAGTACAGAGAACAGCGGCTGGCGATGTGGATCCGGACTGGAGGATTGGAGAATCGGGACTTGGCGTCGACAATAAACAATGTTTTGACAAATCGCTGAAAATTGAGTGCGCAAAATTATTATTTTCAATTTAAAAATCAAAAGCAGGCAGGAGGTGCTCTCAGATCGCATCCCGGCTCCCAGATCCCTGTGGCCAGGCCGTGTGTGCTGTGTAGCATCCCGGTAACGATATATGGGTATTAAATTTTGCCGCCTTGATTTTGCTCTTGGCGAGGAACAGGGGAAAATCGTGTTCTTGCCACAGTTGAAAACCGGCGAAGCTCAATGTCCAATATCGGAGAACAGGGATGTGTATTTCTCAACGCTTCTCACTCGCCACCTTATCCACCGTGCTTGCTAATGATTCCAAATTAAGAATTTTATAACGAGAGATCGGCGTGCCATGTGAGTGTGGGTTGTGGCTCAGGCAGTTATAAATTTTCAGGGAAACTGCCTGGACTATTGGTGCGAGCCATTACAGTAAATCAGCTAAAACAACTCCCAAGCTGGCTCACCATTAGCAAGTGTAAGGAACTCTTTTAGCCGCCTGACCTTTGAAATAGTTTCACGCCTGGCAGGCAGCAGAAGTTACTTTGGCAGTTTGGTTTCGGTGACGCCCACTTCAATCAAATTTTTTGATTGGATTGTTTCGGAAGCAAGTCGTCATTAAATCAAATATCATAATTATATAAACAGCTAACGTGCGGGAGAAAGGTCTTTTGGCTGGTCAACGGTACGGCTACAACTACGATCTTGCCTTAGCTGGACAGCTTCACCATTTTGATTAAAATCGAGTATCTGAAATCTGCTGTACTAGTACCTCCGGGGCATTCTGCAACTTAAAACGGCTCTGCAGAAACTAGGCTCTGAATGTTCACACATTCACTAAGCAGAAACCGTGGCAGGAGAAGGAAAAGGAATAGGAGTGACTGCCAAGTGGCAGCAAATCAGTAGGTAAACTGAACGTTAACGTTAACCTGATTACGGTTATTAGAGCCTATAAGAAAGATGGTAGAGGAGCGTTGGCCTGGACGCTGCGTCTGTCCACTCTCACTACGCGCCGATGCCGCAGGAATGGGAGGGGTCCGGTCAGGACGAGCCGAGCTCCACTGATCCGTGGCGTGAACTATTGAAGTGTAAGAGAGTACACATTATGCTGATTATAATCAGCGATGCCAGTAAAGTTGAATGATTACGCCCGGGCCGAGAAGATTCCGAGCGAATCGGGACACAAGTGCACCTCATTAGCTAGTAACGGTAAAGAGCAGTGCGACCCATCCAAGAAAATCGATAAGTTTAAAGGAAGAAAGCAGACAAGAAAAACTGCCTCTTCTCCCTTACCATTTTCCTCTTACGCCAAGCACATGCTAATGAGTGGAATGAACTCACAGTCCGGATTGTCCCGAGTCCGACGACTCCATCCTTGAATTGAGAGAAAACCCAGCCGGATGAGAGAAGAGCGCGCCATGAAATTAGTTTAAAATCGGTATATGTACCCAAAAAAAGTAAAATATCTTTGAGGGTTGCATTTGTACATATATAGACACCGAAGTTGAGAGCGGGAAAACTTTTATCGCCAAAGTTAATGAGATTTCTGGGACTGTGGTTTATTAATACCAATTTAACGGATTATTTACTATTACATTAAAAGTTTAGGGCATGCTTAGAGGAACTCAATTCCCATATGAATTCTCATCGTCCCTATTCCTCCTTTAGCTTCAGTACACGTCCACGGTGCTGACTAACCAGATATATGAAATATTTAATTAAAAGCTATTACTTTGTATTTTGTATCATACCCCTTAACTTATAAAAACAAAAATGTATGGTAATCATTTCATAGTTTTAAAGCTGATTCTTAATTTTGAAGGATAACATGGAAATGCGAATGTGAGGGATATTGTCAGGCTCTACATATTTTCAGTATTTTCTGTTTGAACTCATAGTGGTACATTGTTCATTGGAAATCAAATAATGAACAAGGCAATGTGTGTGAGTGCGTGTGTATGGTTGCGTAATAAACAAATATCAAGTAAAAAATGCCATACACAAAAAAGGAAATTGCGTCCCTTTGCTGAAGGGCGCACACAAGCAATTCGTGTGTATACTTTTGTCTGCGTAAAAAAGGAAAAAAATTACGGGCTGTAATTATGCAAATTAGTCCTGAGTCTGTAGCTCGTTGTGAAGCGAATGCGCGATAGCTGAGACCAAGCTAGGTCCCGGGGCAGGAAACAACTACAGAATCTCCGAAAATGTTCCTTTGAATATTTACGGAGCACAACACGCACACTCATTAATTTTCATCAATGAGCAAGCGAGCCTAAGCCGCAGCTTATAGCGGCGAATGTGAATTTTGTTTCTGTTTTTTTGCATACTTACATATATCCTGGATATCCAACCCAGCCAATGACAGCAGGGGACTCTCGAATGTGCTGCGCATCATTAATTTTTAGAGCTTAGCCAGATGACAAGCCCGAACAACAAACACAACCAGAGCTCCCAGCCGAAAGAAATAACGAATCGATCCAGAGGTGATGCCCAAAGCCACAGTTCTATCTATGTGTGAAGCTAGCGCTGGCAGAGCTTCGTCGCTTCTCAGGCAGTTCAAAAATATAAAATAAAAACCCTGAAATCGTTAGAAGAGAATTCAGTGGGCAGGACTAGGCAACGACATAAGCCGATCCACGAAAAAACTCAGCCATCAACAATCGGAAGCGGCAAACCGGAGACGGAATAAAACAGTTTAGAATATTTATGATTTTCAAGGATTTGTAGTTGACGTTTGCATAAACGTAAGCCTTAGAATTCAAAACAAGCAAACCGTACTAAGGACGAAGGGTAAGAGTAAGATTTAAGAAGGCAGCTTTCAAACGATTTTTTGAATATTAAAGCCATTAATTTTAGAAATCACATACAGAATATAAAAATGAGTAAAAAAACGTGTGTAGCAATGTTTTTCTGGATGATATCCTTAAATATTCGTTTTAGCTTTGGCGTTTTTAGTAAATTAGAGTAAGCATTCACATATCGACCTGACTATGAGCTACTACACCAAAAATCACGCATTTCCGGCACGTATGGAAGTTCCGGCCAAGCTCATGTCGAACAGCATGTGCTTCCGTCTCCTTTCACATTGCTCCTAGCCTAGCTTCTACTCAGTGTGTTTTAGGTAGACCCAACAAAAGGAAAAATGTTAACTCATTTGCTTGGAAAATGACTTTTTAATATGCGACACACTTTGGCGACCGTGCTGGGTCCGTGCAATTTGAATATTTATTAATGTCCAGAATCAGAAATACGCATGAGAGTCCTTGAGTTCCAATGGGTCTAGGCGGAAGTGCGTAGTGGTCATTAGACTTGGCATTATATTTGCGGCAGCAGGACGCGTGCCATGTACGGGTACGCTAAATGGTCAAGTGGTGGTTATTCACATTTACCACATGAGTTCAGGCTAATGGACGAAATAAAGTTAGAACGCGGACCTTTTTGACGTTGTTAATTATCCAAGAGTGTGCCTCGGTTTTGGTTTATATTCGTAATGTCGACCATTTGCATAAGTGTAACGGTATGCAAGGTGAAAGGTGATTAAGGTGTAGTCATATCTGGAAATTAATGAAAACTAACTAATTTTTGGTCATACAATATGGTAAATGTTGCGAGGTGTGTGTTTTTTGCTGTGGCCTATACTTTCGGGTAAAATGGGTTTCTAATGGCAAACGGAAACTGATTTACAAATGGATAGCTCAAATAAAAGTTGCGTAATACTAAAGCCAATTCGAACTGCATCGTTTACTACTTATATAATTAAAACACTTTCAAGGTAATACACATTAAGGAATGAAGAAAGGTAGAATACTTAGAACATGCTGAAATAAAGTTTTCATCACATTAGCCTGGATCTTGTTTCTGCCTGCTGTCAACTTTGTGTACATGTTCTACATGCAAGAAATATTTAGTCTTACACCGGCCTTCAACTCGACAACATCGAAATTTATTGTTTATTGTTTAAGTTTTTGGAACTTTGTTGTACAAGTAAGTTAACAAAAAACACTTTACAACTTTTTATATAGAGTGAAATGGTTATAGTTTAATCGTATGTAACAAGTAGAAGAAATCGTTTTCGACTATATATAGTGTAGTCTATCAGGATCACAAGCCAAATCGATCTACCCATACTTAATGTCTGTCCGTCCGCTGATGCCGCACTTTGACGCCCACAAACGCCCATAACGCTAATAAATATACCGCCCCATTGCTTTTATTGACCAATAGTGATATTTTTTAAGTTGGTCAGCTAACTAACAGGTATCTTATAGTCGAGATACTCGTCTTCAGCGTTCTCTCTTGTGTATTTTAACATAATTGTTATTCAGAACTCTCGGACCTTCGTCATGTGTTGCGGACCTTGCTGTGGAACCTGCTACTACCCTTGCTGTAGTCCTTGCTTCAGTGGCCGCTGCTTTGGGCCGCGATGCGGATTTTACAGTGGACCGTGTGGACCTTGCTGCGGGGGCGGATGCTGCAGCAGCTGTGGACCGTCTTGTTAACCTGACGTACTGCATACCAACATTCTGGACAAGGAGAAATATTTATTGTCGTGGCCATTCGACTTGAAAAACAAGATCAAGATCAAGTCGTAATAAAAGGTGTATGACTTTCATTGTCCTGTTTTTTCGTACCGTGTTTGCGATTCCCCCTTTACTCAAGAAATCGGGTCATTGTCGAGCAACGCTATTAGCCCATCAATTACGTTGGTAATTGCCCGATGACCGCTATAAAAACCCCTCGTGTAGTTTCCTATGCGGATAATGCTAATGCTAATTTATGCACTGCCCAAAGCGAAAAGCCAAATAGAATTAAACTATAAAGCAGGACAAACGCTTCAGAAGTCAGCGGGTCAGCCATAACCAGTTGACCGGGCTGACCGCTTCACATGGGGTTTGCCAAGCCTGGTCACTTCCTGTTTGACTCCTCGACCCCTCGGCTGCTTACCGTGTGGTCAGTGTGAACACGAATTAACGAGCGTGTTATTAGGGGTAGGGTGACAAAGCAAACATGACATGAGTCTCATTATCAATTCAAGTAGCGGTAAATAGGTTTATATTGATAGAGGGGTCAAGGGTTATTTTGCTTGACCATTGGCTAGCTAACAGTGATTTATCAGGCGGGGATGGAGTTCATTTGGGTGTGCGGTCGAATTTAAAAGTCTTGCTAAAAGACCAGGTATGTGTTAATTATCCAAATCACAAATTCTTTGACTTTGTCGCTTGTTGACAGCAGGACACGCAACCAGCTCTGGTATCTACGAGTATTTTACTGACTGTTCCACGCGTAGAATTCACAACATCCACATCATAGCCGAGTCAGAAAGTCGCGTCTGGCGGCGACAGGGGATACATTATTTTAATTTCCCAACAAAATTCTTTGCTTTTACCAAGAAAAAACCCGAAACTAAATGAACGCTTCAAGGGAACAAAAGCATTTGAAGGGTGGCAAGGAAAAGCGAAAATAAAAATGGAAAATCGTAAAAAACGATGCTTCAGCAGCGGCACATTAAATGAGTCTAAATAATTTATGTCAACTGCAAAGTGTGAGTGCGCGTAAGAATATGAGATGCTCAGCAGTTGGATTTATTGGGGGGTGGTAAACGTTGGAGGGCAACACCCAAAACGACATGTGTTTGCAGTAACACTGCCCGATGCTAATTTTTTAACGTTTTCCTCCGGAGAATTTTTGGTCCTTTCACCAAAAATAAAAACAAAAACAAAAACGAGGACTGGTGGCATTAGGGGTCGAACTTTTGGATACTCCTGTTCAGCTTCTATTAAATATTTTTTATAAAATTATTCCAGTCCCAGAGATTTATAATAGCTTAGTTTTTAAAGCTACTCTATACAAGGCTTACAATTATTTTTTAAAATGATCTCTTGTATCTTTATGGTCGAAAGACCCTTTTCTGAAAGTATAGGGTATTATAAAAATCAACCCTTGAAGCTAGACTATTTGGAGTCCTTCGAACTCCCCAAAATCCGAAACATTTGGTAATGTACATATGTACTTCGTTTTTATTTTGAGAAGTATGTCCATGTGCTTGTGGGCCGCTTATGCCAAGAAATTAATATTTGTTCTTGGGTCTTGGCAACGCACCCTTAACGCATTTTTTATTGCGATCCTGATGTATCGTGAGTGTATGTATGTTTGCTCATTAAGCAAAAACAAAGTTAAGGAAAACTTTTTACCACTTTCAGACATTTTTGCCTGCATTTTTATTTATTTTTTTCTGTCCATACGCAACCATTTCGTTCTTATTGTAGTCTGAGCTTAAGAATAACTTTTTAAAAGCCTAATTTAATTTATGTTTAATTTGCTTCGAGTAATTTTCTCTGTATGTTGCTATTACAATTGCAATACAATTTAAAAATTGCTTATCTCTGATCAAAAAGTGAAAGAGCACCCTTTACAACTACACACATCCATACCACCGTAGCGGTAGTTTTTACATGCCGTCTCTATTTCAAGGAAAAAAAGCTTGCTTTTAACCATGCTTTTAAAGTCGTCGCATAGCTACTGCTTTTCTTTCCCCAATCCCCAATGACCTCTTTCATCAACGCGGCTCAGCTGACCACATCATAAGTCAGCCTGTACTTCAGCTCGTTTTAATAATCTTAACAGTTATGCTTCTATCGTCCGCCATTATGGAAATCAACGCTAACGGATACAGTGGCAACAGCGACGCTTACCGCAGCAGGGGAGGCGGCTTCGCATCACCAGCGGCAATGGTGACCAACAAAAGTCAGCAAAGAACCCGACGAAAATTCACAGCATTTTCATTCGAAAGCCGAGTAATTACGCATTCAAGTAGAAAAAGTTTATCTCTTGTCGAAAAATTGAAAAATTTTCATTTCATAAAATGAGATTAAAACGCAAGTTCCCTGCTCGTTGTTAAGGGGCGAAGGAGGAAGTGGGTGGGGCTGTGGAGGAGTTCACTGGGAGCCGACGTAAAGCCGTGCAAACCACAAAACCTCGGGAATGGTTTGCCTGGACCTGGGGGTTGAGAAGGAAGAAAAGCTGCCGCGAAGGGCTTAAATCTAGAAAGTTTACTGCCAAAATATTTTTAAGAAAATTACGAAACCGTCGAAGAAGACGACAGGGAAGCCAGGACTCGGGGGAGTGGCGGGTCCGAAACAAGTAAAAGAGCTGGAAAGTAAAATAATAATGGCCGCCAACACGGAACAAAGTTCGTCGAAGAAAGGGTTTAGGACGAGACGACGATGATGCTAACAGCGATGAAGGAGAGATGCCTGTGATGACAATCTGGCAACGCCGCGGAGCGTGTGCTTGTTGTTGGGGTGTTTGTCCTGCCATGTCCATACGCACTTTCAACCCTTTTCGCGCTGGCGGGGAAAAATTGCGTAAAGTGCGAAATACACTGTGTCTGTATACGGGTACTAACACACACACAGCTTCCTACATTATGTACTCCGAAAATGTTTCATTTTACGACATATATACCACGCTTCTACAAGTAGATAGTGACCAAAAGGGTTGTCCTGGCTAGAAAATGTTTCCTTTTGGCAGTTATTGGATTTCAAAATGAAATCCATTTGATGGCAAACGAAGCTTTGATATGTGGGGTAAGAGCGGTCTTAGAAGCTCGGTAGTTAAATAAATTAACAGCCAGCGGGCAGAAACGGGATAGAGGATAAGTAATATAGCTGTCACAAGAGGTTTCTGTTTTCTTTGACTGATGTGAAATAAAAATTAAATTTGCCAGCACAGAAGAGATTAGAGCGAGATCCCCAACGGGTGTTGGGGATGACCTAAGAGCTCTGGAATTATTGGGCAAACTCTACCGCAGCTCGCAGCGTCTAAATCTTACTAGTTTAATAAGTTTCAAATTAGTTATTTTGGCAAAAAATACAACCGGTGAAGTCGTATTTATTTAAGACCTTTTTCGATTTATACTCACTTTACATCGTGAGTGTGGCGGCATAGTATATGAATCGTAGCTGGATTTTGATTTTTTATAGTAATAGGAAAACTATATACTTTATTATAGCCTCTTGCCTTTACAGGCATTTTTTATTGCAGCGTGCCGAATGAGAAAAATATATTAAGTGTATTTATTTAGAAGATAGTAAATACATTTTCGTCACAAAAGTTAATATCATAACTTTTGTATGTGGAAGGTGCTATCGTCACTAGTACTCCACCTCGTTAATAGGTGTATTTGTTTGGTATATATAGTAGTATCTGCGTTCGCACAATCTCCTTGTACGCATTGTCACTACGTGTACTGCAGTCCTCAGTAATATAACTAATGATTGAATATATTTTCGATTGCAAAATAAAAAGACTACATGCTTATCCAAACATAGCATCTCGATAGGAGGCAGCTGCGTCACTGAAACAAATATGATCGGCGTGGATGGGATCGAATAGCGGTGAGAAATTTGCATATATGAATCCAATTATTGAAGCGGGAAAATAGGAAAGCTGAGGATGGATGCTGCCAGTAGAAACGCGTTTCACGTGACAGACAATCTAAAAGGGAAAACGTAGAATTGAATCATTTACCAAACAAAAAAGGAAAGGTGCCAAATATTAGGCAGGACAATGAAAAAAATGAATCGCTTTCATATGCAAATTAAAGTGCAATTCGAGCAAGTTGAAGGGAAAATAATGGGAATCTGATTTTGATTTGGCACGTAGCCTACAGCCATATAGATGACGGTGCCTTCGTCCGTACTTCAATGAAAGTGGCGCTCTCAAGAGCTCTCTGCGACCCCCCTTCCCCCCTCCCACACTTTTGTTATTTCCCCCTCTTTGTACCCCTGAGTCCCTGCTAATCCCTTCCAAATGAAAAACAGCGTGCGGCCTGCAAAATGTGTAGTTAACTTCCCTTTCCTTCCTCCTGCTCTATATGTGTGCTTATAAATTTCAGCGTAGAAGACAAAATGGCGTCGCTTCTCGAACTAATCCAATTTATTACAGCTCCATAACTTTTTCCTATTTCTTTTTCCTTGGATGCCCTCCGTTCCACACTCGAAACTGACAGACGCTAAATGCGTCTTATTAGACGAGCTGTGTGTGGGTGTTTTTATGTGTGCCATGTTTACCCTCGCCATTTCCCCTCTTTTCCCAGCGAACTTTGACTCGTACCCCACCCAATTCCTCGAAGGGGTCGTCTGCTTCAATTTCAAGCTTCTATCTTTTTTGCTTTTTATGATAAATTGCATTTAGCAACCACCGACGCCAAAGATACCACCACCGCACCACCACCAACCCACGCTGCCACCCTCTCCTAGAAAAATGCAATGGTGGGGATGGGGTGGGCATGCGTTCCCATTGTTGTTGTTTGGATATGGACACACTCGTGTAAAGGATTTAGCTTTCGATTAAATCTAAGTCTCTTCACCCCCGGATTCTTGGAAAATGGCTGATGGCGTACAAGAGAACTCCTTTCTTAATATCACAACTCAGTTTACCCTTAGTTTATAGTAATTTTCCTATTTTTAACATATATTTTAGAAATAACCAAACTGAACGCCGACCATGAGAGTTTTAAATAACTAATAATTAATTTTGTTAGTATTTATTTAACTAAACCTTGTTTATTTAAGCTCCAACGTCTTCTTATAAGCAAACTGGTATCGCCTGACTGTGAAGTGACAACAAATTGCGTGGAAATCTGTTTACATTCGTTCCGCAGGGACGTCGGCTACTAGAAAATGTTATGGATTTGCTGCATTAAAACGAAAAATATTTACCTATGCTTTTCGGAAGGATGAATGTCTATATACTACCCGGTGTCTACAGAGAGCCCAACTTATTTTAGCTCGATTTGCAAGCTGATTTCCCGCTGACAAATATCGCGTGTTTGTCCTTGATCCCGTGGAGCGTTAAGTGCATCCTAGCGGCAGCTCCTTTCGTGTCTGAGAAAACAATGAAAAATTCATGCAAATGAAAAATAAATGCACACAAGCCAAAAAGGATAATGCAGCATGGGGCGCCACGGAGCAGCAGGAAAATAGAAACACATTTCATGCAATTTCGGACTAGGGTGCTTGGCTCTTGGTTTTCGTACCGTTTCGACTCCTTTGTCTGTGGCACGAAATTTCAATAAATTATGCAAAAATTTCGTGGTTTTCGCGCTTTTCTCTTGGCCGTTTCTCTTCCTTTATACAACACTTTCCTTTCTGTTTTATTCAAATTTGTGTGCATTTTTTATTTCTTAGAAAAACAAAATTTTACGCGCAACGATTTTTGGTTTGAAGAAGATGCAGAGAGGCAGGATCAACCCTTTTCAGAGCCAACACAGCATCCAGCTGCTTGAATTAATCCCTTTTTGGACGATCCCCGGTTATCTTTGTCTACTGATATTGTATGCTCAGGTAAGCGATATATGTGTACACACATGAGACTCCTGCGTATGCAAATAAGTTTTATTAAAAATTTAAATGAGGTCCCTTTCAAAGGACACCTTTTTTGTTTAAAAGGGAGGAAACATTGACAGCTGCGTTTTGAGTTCTCGAATTTGTGGATCGTAGGTTTCAACTTAATTTCATTCACCTCTTGAACTCGAAGGGCATAAGTGCAAAGCGCCTCAGTGAATAGAACAAATTGATGAAATTCATGAAACACGCTTTCATCCATCGCAGCAATCTTTCCGTTTTGTGCCTTGGAACGTATAGTCCAATATTTTTCCAGCATTATCAAACATAAAGATCTACACAGTTGACGTGAACACAGGTCTATTCCTCGCACATGTACCATTTTCAATTTTTCACTGTTACCCAGATAACTGTGATTCGACTGATCACAGCTTCGTAACTAGAATGAAATTACTACTAGAACGCTGGCACAAGCTCGCCCTCTCCACAATGTGAGCATCTACAGCTTGCGCTTCAATGGTGCCATGTACTCGGTTGCCTTGCTGAGCAGCAGCCGCTGTACAAATGATTATGTTTATACTATTAAAGTAATTTACTAAAAAATGACGCCCCGCCAAAACAAGATAATCCGCAGTCAACTCTCCCTCTCCCTCCCATCAAAAGCCGATCGTCAAAGTCAACCGCTTTAGCTGGGGGTTAAGTAGCTTGCTGTCTACTTAACCATAATCGAAGTATGGCACAGCGAATAGGCGATCAAACGGCGATTTCGATCTCTTCTGCCTGCCGATCGCGGGTTTATCACAACATTTTGCAAAGAAGATGGATAAGTGTGGTCAAGTGCCGGGGTGCCATGGTCGTTTTCCACTCGCTGGCTGCGCTGATAGCCAAGGTGCGAGATCTGCAAATAATGTGGCCAGCTCCACCGCAGCTGCACCTGGGCCTGATCCCTGGCTGGAGGCTTCGAGGCCAAAGTGGGGCCATGTGTGCTGCTTGGCTGGCTTCGAGCTTGGCTATCGTTAAGTGGGCTCGGCCTCCGCTGAGCCCTGTTGTGTACAGCTCTATTAACCCCTGCCGCTGATTTGGTGATAACGATCGTAACCGTACTGGTACTCAAAGTGCAACACATGTTGCACTTTCCACGACTCTCGTTCAGCTTGCTGTGCGCTATATTATTTTCCTCAATTTAGCAAATGATTTTCCCAACTCAAATCAGTATGATTCGCTTTTATCGTACGCTCTCCTTGTTAAATTTCGACTCTGCACCAAGAGTTTGAAGACTAGGCAACTTTTTAAATTTTAAATTTAATTTTAATAAATTAAAAAACATTTACATTAACAACATTGGAGTAATGTTGATAAAATTGTGGTCAGTGGTGGAGCAATGTTGTTGGCATATTTAAAAAAATAATGTTTTGGAAAGATGGATGCCTCGTAAGGGATAGAAACTAAACTATACGTGGGGACATCTCTTTGAGCGAAATTCGGGTGGAACCTATGCTGATGTTATTTTTTCGCTTTCGTATTTGTATTGAATACAAGAACAAGAATGAAAGATAATTTGGTCTCAGTCTGTGTAAATTATTCTTCCGTTTACTTATATGTATATTGTTTACTACGGAACTTTGCTTCGTTTAATTGAGGCTTCTGTAGCAACAAAATTACTTTGTTTTATTTTATATATGTAAACGTCAAAGAGACTAGAATCAGAAAAATAAATACAAATGTTTATTAAATCCATACTCATAAATATGCATGGGGATACAAGGGTGTACTGACAGACCAGAACATAAAATTTGGGTCTTCTAATTAAGCCAAAGAAAGGGGTTCACATTTGCCAAAATAAATACTCTTCGATTCCATTCATTTGCCGAACGAAAAAATTAAGTGGCATAAATATGCATGAGAAACCTTTTGAAGTAAACCTGTGAACTGAAATGTTCCCTTATTCGGCACTTACCCCAATCGAGAATGTTGCACCTGAAAGCTGATTGCATAGTTGCCGTGTCTTACCAAAACCGAAGTTTATTTAATGAGAACACAGTATTAACAGAAAAAGGATTACAGTTTAGAGAGAGAACATTTTGACTGTCTGGCTTCATTGGATAACATTTCCATATATATAACTTTGCGGTTCATTAATTAAAATCAAACTGTTTACTAGGGGTAGAAAAGAGTCCCTTCCTGAGGATATATATAGGGCATAGCTATCAGGTAGTCTTTTTGTATTTGTTAATTACGTTTTTCTGTGCTGCGGTGGTGTGTCATTCTCGTTAAAGTATAAATATGAGTACTCATTTGCTTCTACCTTAAAATGGTAGCGTATGTTTCAGAAATTGACTTCTCCCAACCTTTATCAATCGCCATGTATCATTTATTTGTTTCTTTTTCCTGAATGTGCTGCAGCTCCTGCGTGCTGAGTGGAAAAATGATTTTAATTTTAGATTAGTTAAATAAAAAATAACAAAAAGTCCTTGCCATTTTCCCATCACACACATCATTGTTGTACAGGCGGCATGTCAATATGGCTTAATATTTGGCTTGCATGGCTCTGGTTACTTAATTTAAAAGACACCCAACGATTATTGGTTTGAAATTGCTTAGAACACGCGAATTTATTTTTGCAGTTTTCTGCGAATGTTTTGTGTATTTACACGGTTGAGTAAATAGGTAGGCGTTGATCCAGAAAATACGGTTTTTATCGTTTAATGTTAGGGGATAGCAGGAGTTGTTCTTATAACATAAAATTACGACCTAAACGGCATGGTCGTACCATTCACGCATCAGACATATTAGTCATTCACAAAGGCGAGCAAGCAACCACTTAGCAACACTTTGGTGTCATATGTCTGCTTTTAACAAGACCTCCAGTAGAATTCAATGTAGCCTAAAACACAAGTCCATTAATCTCTTGCCCACCATTCTCAATGCTCAGTCACATGCAATTCCTAGCTACTTGTTGCTCCTTTCGGAGATGCTGATGCAGCGCCTGGTGCTGCTGCTAAATAGTCGGTGCTAGGGATAACCCAGCAACACCAGTTTGATACCGCCTCACCTTTTATGATGCGATTTGCATAGCGTTTAGGTTGCCCAGTCGGCATCGCATATTAATATATTTCTGCCGTAGATACGCGCTTTTCTTTTATGCCTTGTTCGGTTTCACATCTCTTATCCAAGCCATTTGTGCCGCGGTAGTCTTCAGTAGCTTGTCGGTCCAAAGGATCCCTTCTCACGTGTACACGAAAATCTTTTTTGTGCGCAACAAGTTTCTGAACAAAATTCTCGTGTGATAAATGATATTGCCAACAGCTCTAGACTCGATATGCATATAGTAGAGCCGGTTGGTCATTAATAATTTTGTTGGGACAGCAGCTACATTGCTGGCCAGCATTGACCTGCAACGGGTGCCTCACATTGTATTGTTATTTGGTCTTTTGTCTGTTTGTGAACAGATCACCTAAGACTGCTTCCTTGAATCAAGCATCTGAAGAGTTGCATTTATGACATGGCATAACTTCTGTTGTTATCAACACCCATATATGGTGTCAAATAACCTCACAAGGAACACAGCGGAGATAACCGATCTGGGGAGCAATCCAAAAGCTTCCACAAGTTGCCACTTGAAGAGGGCTGATGATGGATTATTGGTACGTGTTGTGAGGCGGGTTTCAAGGATGTAGAATAGGACAGGCAGCAGCAGAAGCACACGAGACTCATTAATCCTGGTCGCAAACGGGTGGCCGGGACCTTCGACTGCCTTGCCACGACTCATTTGTGATAAAAACTTTCCAGCTTGATAAATGGCCCAGCATACAAGCACACATTCCCTCTTCTCTTACCAATTTCTGTTGGGCCAAGACCCAAAGAGTCGTGCAGGGTAAAGCCAGAAGCTATGAAAGGGCTTCCTATTTTTTGCCTTGAACTTTTTCGATAGATAAACACTTAACACGTTTTTGTCAGTAATTTAAATACTCCCCCTTTCGGTGGACCATATATTTAGCAGCCATTCAATCATATTTGTGTGGCACCAGCCTTCAGAGTATTTCGGCTATGGCTTTTGCACAGCCCTTTAGCGTTTTGATATGCAAATACTTTGCACAGGTTTTCTCCATTTTTCTGATTTGATGCGTTTGTTTTTGTCTGTTTGACAGACTGCTACCGTCACGTCATGGTAAACGTATTGTTGATTTGTTTTGTGCGATTGTCACGTTCTTGTTTTGATTACTTAATGCGATAAATGGAAAGTTAAAGTGATGTTAGAAAGCCTTCCCAAGAGGGATTCATTTTTAAAGTCTGAAATGTATTTCTTCAGAAAAATATAAACTCAAATGCTTAAGGAGGTGATTGCTTTTTGTACGGTCAGTCAGTGTCGCTATTACTGATGGGGGTATCCTCATTGCTTTTGTAATCACGTGATGTGTTGTCATCCGTGTCACTAGACTCTGAGTCTGATGAAGACGGAGAAGTCCTACAGGAATGTTCACCCGAACTTGGTGCTGAAGGCGCTTCACAATTTTCATCGGCATCCAAGGCCTGATCTTCATTGCTGTCGCACCCGTTTTCGCAGTGATCCTCGTCTTCCAATTCACTGATATCTTCCTCTTCACAGTCGGTATTAGAGGATCCTTTACTTCCATTAGATCCGCATCCCTGCAATTGAGAATTATACATACAATTTTATTTTCCTTGCGGAGTTTAGCCACTCACCAAGAGAAAACTTCGGCTTCGACTCGAGCTCCGGGCGTCATGCAACTCCCTCATCAGGGCATTCCTCTCCATTGAGTGATACTCGCGTTGAAGATGGCACTCGGACTGCAGTTCTCGATTTTCCTTTCGCAAGTAAAACATTTCGCTCAAGATTTGATGCTGCTTCTCAACTATAGTTGTCACCAGCTGCTCCAGATTCTCAATGGTAACCTCGTACTCCAGTAACTTCTTCTTTAGAAGCCAATTTTCTGCACGGCAGTCGGCCAGATCGGAGGCCGACACTCCAGATTCGGAAGCCTTTGTCTCTAACAAGTCTTTATCAACACTATAGGGTTATTTATAAAAGAAAAGAGTGGTAGCCACCGAGATGGTAATAAAAAGAACTCTCACTTTTTTGCGGGGCTTGGGCCTGATGGAATATCATCAGTTAAAGGCAAAGGAACTGTCGCAAGGTCTCCGGGAACTACCTCACCGGACGTATAGAACTGGCAAATACAGGACATTTTTGTAAAAGTGACACAGTCGATTGCACATGATTGCCTACGCAGAGGTTACTAGTTGTATTTCAACCTTAAGGAATTCCCATACTACTCTGTTTTCTCGTTGCTGGCATTGAACTATACTAAACTAATCTGGACTGAGTTTCCTCCCATTTCAAATGCTGATACCCTCCTAAAGTAGACTATTAAATTAAAACTGCCTGGACAGAGTAGGGTGTCGAGCAACCCACATCCTTGCCAGTATTTCACTTTACAGACTGAACCCCTCTCGCCGCGCGCTCCGAGCTCCTGGCCAGGGCAGACTTTACGACTTGACATTTTCACACTTTGTTGGCAACGTTTGGGATGCTTCCTACACACTCCTTTCTGTGGGGCAGGGCAGCTGACTTTTGGGTCGCCCTTGCCGCGTCAAGTCAGTGTCGATGCAAGCTGCATGGACTGTCATTCGCCTGGGATCCGCAGTGTGCAAATGTGTGGCTTCAGCTGAAGAGCCACTGGGGAAGTGTGAGAACCTCCTTTTTTGTGTGCGTCGGTGGATTGAAGCGCAAAATTGGTTTAAGTGTTTGCTAAATTGGCAGCAAAATGGCTTTTTCAATTTATACTCAACGTTTATGTGCGGGTCCGCAGATGGAGGAAGCTGTCCAAAAAGTTGAGCCAGAAAAACTAAACATTTTCTTCCCCCTCATTTTTGGCAACGGCTGCCGCCTAGATGGATAATTGATATTTAGAACTGCTTTCCGTTTGTTGCCTTTGGGAGTGCTTTTGCGAAGTCAGGAGCTCCTGGCTGATCACTAGTACCCACACACCTATAAATAATCACGGCTCCAAGCCCCCACACCACTCCTACACGTTGTTTCACACGCTTACTTTCGACACTAACTGGTATCCGTCTCCCATAGAACTGTATTCCCCCACACGTATCATTTATAGTGGAGATAATCATGGTTTACACCCAAGCAACTTTTTCAAAACACATATACGAGTGCTCGTATTTTACGGTCTATTTGCACCGACTTAGAGTCGGCAGAAAACCCAGTTGAAGTGGAATCGTAATCGTGATACCTAAACAACGCCAAATTACACACCAGAGGGCGCTACGCAAAACATGTTAACATAAATTTTTGCGCCTCCCCGCGACTAAGCCGGCCTTTGTGGCATAGCCAACCTCTAAACGCTCAACCTTAAACTAGACACATGCAAGCGCACATTTAAAAAGGCATAAGTCATACGTGGCTAATAAATTGATTTGCTAAAGTGGATTAGAGTTCATTGCTATGACATATACAGGATGCTCGGCTCCAGTGCTGAAAAGTGATCTTCGCTGTTGCTGGCCGCTTGGAGAAAAGGCAGGTTGGCCTTGGTGGAGCCCCCTGTAAGTTCAACCTGAAGTCAACTATTTTTAACTCCAACTATGTGTGCATTTGGGGGAAAAGTCTTCTGCCCACGGAGAGAGGAATGAAATTATCGTATTCCCAAAACGCTCGGTGGACTCCTTCCAGGCGCAGTCGCACTTCGTACTGAGACGTTGGCTATGAAAAAAGAAACGCTTAAAATGCCAGTTTGAAGTCTATTATTTGCTGGACACGAGCATATATTGATTGCATCGCAGTCGCCTTGGTCAGCCACAAGATTCAGGAAAGCAAATTGCTTCAACAAATACTCGTACTCCCGAAACGGAGAACGCAAGGGGCTGGAGATGTGGATGTGGATGCTGGTATGGTCTGGGGTTCGGAAGGGGCTTTGCGGAATCACATGGTAATCGGTGCACTGCGAAACAGAAACCAGAAACGTTAAGGCAATCGAAGCCGAGTTTTGGGAAGAGGTGTTCCAAACCCGTTTGCAGGCGCAAAGTGCAGATCCGCTGGGAGAGTTTGCAGAGAGTCTTCGGTTTCTCGGCGGCTTCGTGTAGTGCAGCATTTAGCGTCTTGATCGGTTTATCACCGATTAATTAGAGTTTGATAAATACGCGCACGCCGTGAGTATATAAATCATAGCAGCAGAGCCGGGCCAATGCGGCGCAGTTAGTCGCCCGAAAAAACATAGGCGCTGGTCCCATAATACAAGCCAAGGGAAATTTGCATATCCATCCACCCGCACGTAAATGTAGCAGTCAAATTGTAGAGGTAAACATGTTTTATTTTTGCGCGCTTTGCTTTTTGATTTTTCGCCGCATTTAGCATTTTGCTTTGTTTTGGGCTGTCGCTGCTTTTGACGTTGCCACACAAGCAGAATATTTTGAAAGGCAAGTGCACGGGGAAAGTGGAAAGAGGTAGCGGGGTTGTTGTGCAAAAGTGCAAAAATATCTTTGAACATTTTTCTGTGTGAGAATTAATTATGAAAGAACGTCCTTTGAGATGCGCTTGACGGCCACGATGAGATGTCGACAGCGGTTCTGATGAACAGGAGCATTATGAATGCTAATTTCAGGTTATGTTTTGGGTTCGAATTTAGAATAGGGTTGATCAGGAGGGAGAAGGCCCTGTGACCCTGAGGTGCTTTTGATTCATATTGTGCGCCTGCTGAAAGCGAGTGGAAGCGCAGTGGGTAAGAGCCATGTCTGCCTTAAATAAGTTAGATTAAATAATAAACAGCTTTAACTCTTACGAAAGATCGTTGATGGGAGTTGTTAAAAAATTTATTCGTGTTTGACGTTTTCTAGATATTTAATTTATTTTACTCATTCAGAATACATAGACCCTTAAAATCGGAAAGTAGCAAAACTCAATTTAGCTGCTGATATTTCTGAGCTGAGTGCTCATTTTAATTTGCCTTTCACTGCCACATTTACGAGAACATGCCACGGGGAATGTCTTATTCTTATGGTTTATTACCGCAAGAGCTGCCACTGCTAAGCAGCACACAACAGAAACTAGGATGGAGGTTATTATTATTCGACGACTACTCGGCACCATGATTGCTACCTTTTTGCTGCATTCGGATTGCATTTGCCGGGCGACGTCTTTTATTCTTGCCCATGGCAGTGGCAAAAATGTTGACCACTTTCTGCATGGTAGAGTTTTTCACTCCACTTCAGCCTTCGCCGTCCACTGCCCTCCCTGTTTTTAGTTTTTGTCGCAGGGAAATTGCTCTCGAGATATCTTCGTTACGGAATGAATGACTACTTGGGACTGGTGCTTTGCCTGGACCCAAAGTATTTGCGGTTTTTTCTTCACATCCTTTTGCACAATTATCCTGATTTCAATATTACTGCGTCATAAACAAAGGCGTAGTCTGACCTCTTGGGGAAAAGGTGGGGAAAGGAGGCGGTGGAGTCTAAGGGTTGTACACAAAATTATTATTATTTGCTAGCCCAGGAATTTTTAGTTGTTCTTGAAGTTTCTTGTCCTGGGCAAGGCATGTCTCTTCTTGTGACCACCTAAGTTTGTCTTTTGCATTTAGTTCGTTTTGGTTTACTCGGAAGGAATTGCAAATAAATAACAGGAAATTGTGTATTGAATTTATTTTTGAAGTATAAAATAGTTTAAATTTCCTCCTGCTTATGAATTTATATTAATAATAATTCTCTGTGTTATCCCTTCCACCATTGTCTACTTGTAAACACTTCTCCTTCCATCACACCTTTCAATTGCTTTAAGTCATTATTATAAAATTGGCTTCATTTGTTGAGAGTAGCGTCCTTAAGAAACCAGAAGTAGCCCAAAGCAATGAGGACACAGCCTTCACTTGCATGCCATTTTCCAAGCAATAAAATCGGTACAACGAACACCCCCTTTTCAGGCGCAGCGTGCTATTCTACCCACAACGCACACGCGTCGACATTTATCAAAAATTCAACTGTCATTTTGGCAATCGTAAAACGTTTTTAAATGCTCTCCTTTTTGCACAAGGCAATTGAACATTCATAAGCTTTAATGCTGGCAAAGAATTTACTAATGCCCAGATCTCCATTACCGCCGAACCCGCAAAAGTACACAGCCCAATAACCCAATATTCAGGAAATTGGCTGACGGCTTTTGCAGAAAGGGGGTGTAAGCCGCTCACACCACTTAGTTGCGAATTTTCCGACCTGCGAAATTTTCCAGAACAAAGCACTCAACGGGACACGTGACAGTTGTCGTGTGGTTGAGACTGCAAAACAAGGCTTCCTTTGCATTTCCCAGTTTTCCGCGAACGTGTGTAGCTGTCGCTGTCAAGTGTGTAATTTGCGGTAGCGTTTTAAGGGGGTTTGAATAGATTACTTCATTTAGATTTGGTGAAAGCAGGTGCGGGAAAAGTCGGGAGTGTGGGTGACGTTAAATCGGATGTTAACTCCAGTAATAAGTGTTTATTTTGCCAGGAAATTAACTTTGAAATTATTTGTTGATGCCTGTTTTTTATTTTGTGGGCTTTAAGCTGGGAACATTATTTTCGATGCCACCACATAGTTGTTCCAGGATAATCCCAGTTTTCTATTTTCATTTATTTTGCAATTAAAAAACAAATTCCTGCTTCCTTTGACTATGCCGCTTATACATTTTTCGTCTGCAATATTTTAAGAGGAAATTGCACAGGGCCTACCGAAAACTCAATGGGGAAACCCTTGCATTAGAACAAAAAGTACAAGTCTTGGATAAAAATAAAAGACAGCCCACTGAAGCAAATTGCGGATTTTGGGTCCTGGCTCGTCCTGTGGACTCAGCCGAATTCGCATTTGCATGGCACAGTTGGCATCAAATTATGAAGTAAGTAAGAGAGTACTCCATGCATTAAAAACCTTTTAATTTGCTAAATCGCCTTGCCAGACATCGTCTGCAGAGCTCAGGTCGGGGCAGCTCTAGCCGTTGTTGTTGGATCCAACGTGGATAAGCGGGCGGAAGCGGATGACGCGGAGTCTGTGCACATTTTTGAGATTTCTAGACGCCTAAGAGGGCCGCTCAGCCCATAACCAGTCCGAATCTCACATAGACACTTGTGCCAGCGATTCTTTTCCTTCTTTTTGGAACTGGATAAAGTTGAATAAGCCATGCAAACACTAGAAAGCACCGAGACTGCTCGAGTGTACTTTCATCTGCCATCGCCTCCTGGCCAGGCGATAATTTTCACTT